GAAGGTACAAGAGCTTAGATCTGAAGGCACAGGTTTGCTAGGACCTGCCCCCTGATATAAGACTGAAATGAGAACATGCTTATGCACGCCAACCATACACACCTGCCTCCTCCTGGCGCTTCATTCAACGTTTCTAAAGATAAGATGACCTAGTTTCATAACCCAGTTTAAACCAATCCCGCATGAAGATTGTCCACGTAATCTTGTCCCTGAACCAAGTGGTAGGGTGGTGTATAACTGTGTTATGTTTCTACCTACCTAGGAGAAAGCACTTCTTTTCTTAGCATTGTCAACTAGAGGAAAGAAAATATGGTCTGGATTTAAAAATCTGGCTTTGTTTGTGTTGAACTTATTTTCCATAGCCCTCAGGATTGGCGGAAATTTTCCAAGGGGGGAGGAAAAAAATGAACTGAAATTAAAATCGACGTTAAAACCAACATGCCCTTTAAGAGAGATCTGGATGGCTTTTCCACCACTGCTTTGAAAGTTGTTTTAGGCAGTGTAAGGGACAAAAACAAATTATAAAACAGTGGAGACAGAGTGAGACCCACCTCCTTGCCCCCTGCTATCATACTAAAAAGAGAGAAGAAATCTCTAAGTACAAATTAAGTCCCCACCGTAGAATCAGGCATGCGACATTTAAGAGAAGACACACATTATCTGTACAACAGACATACTTCTGAAGGAGCTAACTCACTCTAAACCGGAAACCTGGATTCCAGCCCAGGAGATAGGATTTTTTTTTTCTTTTTGAGTATTACTCCTTTTCTGGCAACTTAGCCTGTTTTCCCCAAAACTGGCTTGCCCAGCATGTGTGGCTTGGTGTCCATGGGAGCAGCTCCTGAAAGTTGTCACCATGAAGGTGAAGAGGGGAAGAGTGGGGAGGAAGGAGAGCAGACCGTCGCTGTGCTCTAAGACTTACACAATGCATCATACTAGGAAAGAGAGTTTAAAAGAGTTACCTGGGATTCATATAGCATAAACCCATTTATTTTCCAAAGGCAGCTTTGGACTCTTTGTCTACCAATCCTTTCAGGAACTGGAGATTACCTGAGGCTGGTCAACTCCCAGTGAAATATCCCCTTCTCACTGATTGAACAGAAAGCTGCAATCAGTTTGTCCCCCGACATCTACAGCCAGAGAGCAGGTAGGCCTGTGATGCTGTGCTCTCCATCATGAAGAAGAAAAACCAAGCAGAAAACACTGTCCCTCCCTTCAAGGAGCCTGAAATCCAGCTGAGGACCTAGAATAAGAAAGCAACTAAAAACTGCTAATTTGGTTCTAAGGTTTATAAGACAGTGAACCATGGGGAGAGGTACTGTGAGGAAACAAAGCAAAAAGTGGGTAAGATAAACAGGACTGGTTCAGTTGAAAAGATGAACATGACCCGGCACAGAGCAAGGGCGGAAATGTCTATAGGACACAGCAATTGCCACTTGTGTCTACTATTGTCACTAGAAGCCTCAGGCGCCACGGTAAAGACTGATCAGGCCACTCTTTGGACATCAACATTGAGGGTTCCATCCGGGATGTACATGGAGGGACAGGCATTTGCTCAGGACGCAGGAGGGACTGTTCATGACGAGTCACCAAGAAAATGAGATCAAGTGAGACAGAGAATCTGATAAGTCATAACTATTTGAGTAAATCACAGCAAGAGAGAAGTTCCGGGACTTTGAGGAACAGCTAAAAATAAGAGAGAGATAATACACATCACTAAGTAGGGAAACAAGAATATGAAGATGAGAATATGAATACTTTAAGGGCGTTATTAAGTCTGCGTACCCAACACGTCAAACCAACTCCTACTCTAGTATACCTGGCCCAAGGACACAGGTGCCAAGTCTAGGCTCACCAAATCAGTACCCTTCGGTGTCTCAGCACCCCCACTAGCCAGCTGCTTCCCCAAGGTCCTTTGCACAAAGATACTTAGGAAACAGTTGCGCCCCTTTCTGAAGACTTTCGCATGAAGTCAAAACAGGACCGCTTTGGGATTCTACAATAAATAGAAATGTAGGGACTAAGCTTTTAATCCCAGTGTTTAATTCTACACTGATTTGTCTTACAACTTCACATGCACCATGAAGAGCCTCTGTATCTGTTTTTTCACTGGTGAAATGCAGAGAGGGGGAGTGACATAAGTCAGGGGGTCAGAGTCCTAGAGGCCTTTGAGATGACCCTCCACCCCCCTAAACCCTCCCTCTCATTTGAGAGACACATACAAGGCTCCAAACCAAGATCAGTAAATAGAAAGTGTGAATAAATGAAGATTGATCATTTCAATGCTTTTAGTCCAGGAGAGTGGGCTGGTGGAGGGGGAGAGGCAGTCCTGCTGTTCTTCTACAGGGGGCCGGGCGGGGGGGTGGGATGAGGGAATGGCAGAGGCTGGTCAAGCCAGTGGCCTGGGCTTACCCTTGAAGCAGAACACAGAAAATCCTGGTTCAGCAGCTTGTACAGATCAGCAAACTAAGGTGACATAAATGAAAATGGCGAAAAGCCCATTTGTTAGGAAAAGCCAAAAATTTTGAAGCAAGGGCAAGTTTTGGGGGGGGGGACTCTAAAATGTTTTTAGCCATCTGCTTCTTCCTCTCTTCTGAGAAAAATGTTTTACATGGTCCTAATAAGGAACTGTAGTGTTGGTCACTGTTTGGCTTCGGTTCACTAACAGCAGTATCAGCCCACAGTTAATTTTTCTTTTCAGAGTCATATCTTTATAGTTCCTTGCACGTCAGATCTTCAAATATGCCCTCAGATGGACTGTCTTCAGAGGAGGCTCTCAGCATTCCCTCCATTGTTAAACATCCCCACAGCGCTTCCTGACACACCATCATTTCCCTGGGGCGCCATGACAGGGCGCCCACAATCAAAGGAGAGGGAGGAAGAAAGAACTTAGTCCTCACTTGTTCTTCCCCTGCTATGTAGTACAGCCTTCCACCACCAGCCCAAAATACCATTCTGATGAAATATTAGAGTGCCTACATCTCTACAGGAATCAGAAAATAATACCTTCTTGCCAAGCTTCGGCTGAAACAGGACACTTCTTTTTAAAAGCCGTTTCTGATAACTATTTCCACTGTCAAACAGCAGTGGATCGTCCTTCCTGGAGCTCCGTGACTCGGGGCCCCTCCATTCCAGGGGTCCACACCTATGTTCTTGCTGTTGACTTCTGGTCTCCAACTGCTTCCCAAACTCCTTGAAGGCAGAAACCCCATCTTCCTCCCCTCAGGATCCCAAGGAACCAAGGCAGGCTCTAGCACAAAGCAGGGACTCAAATGTGGGATGAATTCATTAATTCATCCCACATTTGATGAATTCATCCCTAATTTTCATCCCGAATAGGAATGAATTCATCCCTAATTTTCTTTCTGATTAAAAAAAAATGGCAGGCTGCGCTGTTTACAAAACCCTTTGACACTTGCTGCCACGTTTGATTCTAATAACACCGAGGAAGTCCCCCTCAGGCAGGGGCCACAATTGTCTCCGTCTATCGATGAGGACACTCAGACTGAAAAAAATCAAGTGACTTGACTAATATCACACAAGGAACAAAAGGATTTAACAACTTTTTCTATATCAACGATTTAAATTCTCCCTCATTAGGGTCCTACTACTTTAGGTCAGAGGATTGTTTTGGCATCACAAACATTAAATTCACCAGTTTGGGTCCCTGAGTTGCATCATTTTCATCACTGGACCCTGAATGCCTCTCTTTGATCTTATTTATCTACTTGTTTATCCATTTAATTCTTTTTAATTACATAAACACTGGTGTGGATAGATTCTACTTTCCATTACGGTTTAAGAGTTTATCAAGGAACAGTCCTGGAATCAAGGGGAAGACCAGGAAGGGAGCTTTCTTCCTGAGCACCAGTGCAGCATGTGCCGCCGGGCCTACCACAGCATTCTCAAGCCTCTCATCGAGGAAGAAGCTGCATCCCAGCTGAGCCCAATCTTCTGCCAGGTGCTTCATGAAGGTAGGCAGCATACCATGGCATGGGTCCAGAATGTCAAGTAAGAATGTCACTAAGTGTGTGCTTGGGAGAGAGGAAGAATTGTTTTAATATAAAAGGACATTAAATCATGACTTATGGACTAAAAAAATATTTTAATTTAAAAAAAAAGAAAGAAAAACCTCTTTTCCGACCCTGCCATGCTCTTTCATATGGGAGAATATGGATTATCCCCCACTATTCAGCTCAACTACCACTGCTAAACAAGAACCACTCTCAAGACCAGAGCGGCGGAATTGTAGGGAAGTCCTCCTCTACCTTCATGCTGCTCCCTACATTCATTCCTCCAGGAAAGGACAAAGTTTTTCAGTTCACAGTGATCAATGTCTTTGACCAAGAACCCGACTTGCTGAGGACCCTCATAAATGTATTCTGATTAATTTAAGAAGTTCAGAATGCAATCTTCAGCTCAAGTTTCTATAGATGTCTTTTGGTTAAAATTGGCGACTATACCCAACCCACTGATGCCAGACCCATCTACCTTTGTATTGGAGACAGAAATATATCAGATGGGAGGGCATGAAGTCCCTAAAATGTAAAATGAAATCATCTCCTGTCAGGGAAAAACGAACAAACAAACAAAAAATAAAAAAAAACAAGCTTCTTAAAGGAAAAGAAGGCAGTCTGAACTGAGGAGACTAAGCTTAGATGACACAAAGTTGCTAAGGGTAGGCTCTACTCATCGTCAAGTGGGCAAGAACAATAAAGCATGTGCCCAGAGTTACTTCCGATCTCACAGCTGCAAACCCAGGCAGCAGTGCCTCCAATGATTCATGGCGTTTTTATTTTAATCTGAAACACATCCGATTTCGTACACAGGAGCTATGTTGCTGGAGGATTGAGAAGGGAACTATGGTTTAGGCGTCTGAAGATGCGTCAGTGAGCAATATTGGAAATGAGTAAGTCTTGCTTTGTAGCCACAGGGATCCTGACAATGAGAGAGACACACATGCAATTGAATGACGTTGAAATGAAGAAGCCAACACCTACGCTCCAGTCCAGAGTCGCTCTGGGCTCCTTCGCCGGGCCGTTTGCCATGGGGAGGCTGAGGGCATGTGCGGGAACCAGGTGCTGTAGGCCTGCCCGGGAGATGGCTTTCCTGCAGCCAGAAGGAAAACAAAACAAAACAAAAAACAAAACAAAACGAAACAAACAAAAAAAACACACAAAGAAAAAAACAACATCAGAAGGTCATACACAGTAAAAAATCTCCCCAGGGTAAAAACAACACCTGCGTTAGTCTTCCACATGCAAAACCCTTTGCAAATGTATTAGAATCTATGTCTCTGAAGTACATGGCCAAGGCCGGGTGGTGGGGGGCAGGTCTCAAAAGACAGGGAGGTTGAGGGACCCCGGACCCCTTTGGGGGTAGCACTGCTTCAGAGATAGAAATTAAAATATAAGCCCCTATTCAGGGACAGGGCAGAATGCAGGTCTGTTTACCAAAAAGAAAAAAAAAAAAGAAAAGACCGAGGGCCCGGGTGGTCACAATACTTGGACAATTTTAAAGCTGTCAGAGGCTAAAGGCAAGAAAAGTGGGCTGGCGGAGTCTTCTATGGAAATCCCTCCATCTCCCCACAAAGTGGTCTCCAAGCAGGCACAGCACCAGCTTCAGTCTTGTTCCTCTCAAGAACGTCCTCCCTCGGGACGCCTGGGTGGCTCAGTTGGTTGGACGGCTGCCTTCGGCTCAGGTCACGATCCCAGTGTTCTGGGATCGAGTCCCACATCGGGCTCCTTGCTCATCAGGGAGCCTGCTTCTCCCTCTGCCTGCCTCTCTGTCTGCCTGTGCTCTCTCTCTCTCTCTAACAAATAAATAAATAAAATTTAAAAAAAAAAAAAAAAAAAAGAACGTCCTCCCTCCTCCCTGCAGAGGACTCCCGCAGAAAGCTTGAAGTTCCAAATGGTTAAAGACTGACTGGTAGAGGCCAAGACAAGGCCCATGCTGAGAGGCTGCGATCTTACCGAGGCCCACGGAAAGAGAGAACCAGAACATGGGGCTTCAATTAGGTTTGGCACCTGGAACACAACAGAATGCAGGTCAGAAAGAGGGGGGAATGAATTGGGAGAGGTTGAGAAAGTCAGCCCTGACCTTGGTCTACAAAGATAAGAAATGAGAGGAGTTGCTTTAGCAGGCAAATACGACAAGGACAAGGTGAAGGGACGGGAAGGGAGATGAGAGCCTGGTGGACAGAATGAGAACAGCACGATGGAGGAAGAAAGTGGGGAGAACTTGTGATACCGTCATTAATCATGTTAAGTTCAACCGCTGCACCGCTCCATGAAAAATGCCAGACAAGGGTCTCAAGCATCAATATCAACGGTGATTCATGAATTAACCAGGGGCTCCCTGGAAAGGAAAGGGGTTTTCCCTCTGCAGGGGTGTCCACGTGTGCTTTGAGAATCACCTGAACTAGAATCAGGTGGGTCTTATGACCCTGCGGACGAGCCCTGTGTAGGTCTGAGGCCAAGGCCCAGAAATCTGCATTGACACATGCTTCCTTCTGTGAGCTAAAGTTTTCAAGCCGCTCCATGAGAGTGTGGAAAGGCTTTAATCTAAAGAGGTTATGAGATGGAGAATCTCCCATATGCACCCTGAGGAAAGCAAAATCTAAGAACTTAGAGACGGATTTCAGATTAATGCCTAATTTGCAGATGACTGGAAAACTCTCTCTCAATCAATGAACATCCACCAAGATTGTCTCCCCATCCTCAAGCCACTGAACCTGCTGCTTGGACTCAGGCTAGATTCCCTGCTCTTTGCACTCCTGGCCATAAAAACAGCCCACCCCAAATTGTTAACAGACTTGCCCGTGGTTTGCTACGGTTTTTGTGTCCTGAACTGCAACTCCCATGCTATTCTCGAATAAAGTCAATTTCTGATAATTCAAGCTTGCCTTGGTTTCCTCTTTATTTGGGTTGGCAAGAGCAAATACGTTTGGGCAAGTGGGGAGCACTAACTTACCCAGGCCCATCAAAGAGGGGGAGCCCTGAAGGAAAGCATCAACAACTTCATTCTGTACTTTATCCCCATTAGTTCTCAGCACCCTATCTCAGAGGATGCAAACACAGCAGTAGAATCTGCCATCTCAGACACAGGACCTGCAGACACACAGGGTTCCCAGGGAGGCCCAGATCCTCAGACTCCTTCACTCATCTCACTATACAGAGGAACAAGGCTGCGGACAGGTAGACGTGGGGGAAAGGAAGGCAGCGACTGCCAGATGTACAGTGAATCCCATCATGACTGAGCCCGGGAAGGGAAAGGAACTTGCCGGGGAAAGGGAGAGGCATGAGAGCAGAATGTAAAAGCTCCCTTGGAATCTAAAGGCAGGTGATCTCTCTGTTCTGTTCCCTGATCTCTGCAAACTCCACCCAGAAATGGAATTTGTAATTGACCAAGATCAACAGTAGCCTCAAAACCCATAGAAAGGTTGGGTAGAATCCAAAAAGGAATCCAAGATCGTGCAGCCATTGATCAACCGCCAAGTGTGTCTAAGAGCTCAGCAAGTGCCCCACTCTTTTCTCCCCCCTGCTCTCATATTCCCACACGGGAAGTCTTAGAAATAACATCAAGGTCTTTAGTAGTCGAAAGTGATCCCATCAAACTTGCCAGAAGCCTACTTTCGGAAGCTCCCACTGGGTCACACACAATGTACTTGCTTTATATAATCCCCCAAAGAGTCGTTACAAGTGTGTAGACCTTTAATGAAGACATTCTGCTGACACAATCCTCTCTTTCCTCAAGGCAAATAATTAACAACATCCATTTTGGCCCCTTCACCGACACTGACTCTTTTGGGTTCCCAGAGCCAATTCCAAAGTTGGAAGGTTCCCCCAACATCAAGCAATTCTCAGACACCAGCAGGGTGTCCCAGAATTCAACTTAATTCTGACACTCTCTACCCAGAGCTAACATGGGATTCCACAGGTCTAGGGTTCAGTCCTACAGGACCTCTCCCCACCCCCACTTCAGATGCCAGTCACAAGCCCCAGGCTGTTACCTGGGCTTCTGGCCAACCAGCTCCAGATGGGAGGTTCCAATGACCTCCTCCTTAGGTTTGATTCATTTGTTAAAGTGGTTCACCAAACTGACAAAAACACTTACTTAACGTTTATCCATTTACTAAAGCAGAGGATGAAGGATATGAATCCACAGTCAGCCGAAGGGATACAGAGGGTGACATATGGGGAAGGGGTGTGGGGCTTCCATCCCCTCTCCAGGGGCTTCCTTCTTCCAGCACCTCCACCTACTCACTGAAAGTCTCTGAACCCCACTCTTCTGGGATTTTAGGGAGGCTTTATTATATATGCAAGAATGATTAAATCATTGGCCATTGGCTACTGATTGAACCTTCAGCCTCTCTCTCCTCCTGGAGGGAAAAGGGATTGGGACGGAAAGTTCCAACCCTCCCATCACAAAATCAGTCCTCAGGGCAAACAGCCCCCACCTTGGGTGGGGTACAAAGGCACCTTCATTAACATAATGAAAAACTCTTTCGCCCTTATCACAGGTTTCAGGAGTTGTGAGCAGAAGTATGTGGATGAAGACCAAATAAGTATGAGAAATATATTTTGGTCATCTGGACGACCAGATATATATTGCTTATAAATCACAGTATCACAGGGCTTTACCCCAAAGTATGTTCCGTTCCACTGAGCAATAAGGAAAGAACACTGGAAGATTCTTATATGGTGCTCCTTTGTGGCCCATGCATTTTTCTTGACCCGAGTTCAAGGAACTGTGTAACATTTTTCTTTGGGACTTTCCTCTGGCTTTGAAGGAGGCTGTATGTGATTCCAAGTCAAGGTTTTCATCACAAGAAAATCAGATCTCCTTGATGTCAGAATCTACAGGTCCCACCTTTGGTTCCTTAAGGTAACAAACAGTGCCTGAGCACAAGGCCTTGAAAGAGCTGAAGAATACCTAAATCTTGAGTAAATGAGGAAAAAGACAAGTTCTTCATCTTTTCATGAACAGCCACAGAAAGCTGTGGTCAGAATGAGAAAGAAGGGAGGGAACACAATTCTGTGGGCACAGTGGACACCACGGGACAAATGAGTTGAACCGACTAGAAGTTGGAGACTCTGACCACCAAAACCTGTGTTCCTAATGAAAACTGCCAGGAGGGGACACGCTGCCGAAATAACCAGATTAGGGTGGGAGGGCTCAGTGTGTCTCCAGAAGAGCACCGTGGTAGTAAGGGAACAGACCCACAAACCCTCAACCATGACTCAGCCCGGCAAGGAAAGCAGAGTCCATTGGCACTCTTGCCCAGCCCGAGAACAGAAATGAGTACGTAAGGCCTCTTGCTGCCTATTGATCCCTGGTCGTCGATAATAAGGGCGGTTTTCTGTACCATGACTAGAGGAAAATTGTATACGTACGACATACATAAACACTTATGAGGAGGAAGATAAGTAAGAACCATCAGAGCGGTCCTGGTTTGTAGCTGCAAATGGGCCTCACAAGAGGTTATTACATTAGAAGGAGAACAGGAGAAAGATTCGTAGGTGATGAGGAACAGAAGGCCGGCTGAGGAGAAAACGGAAGCTAACACCCTGCAACCTTCCCCCTCTCCCCACTCCAGGATGGGACACGTGTGACATTCTTCCAGGAATCTCCCATCCTATGTGAAATACCTTGCCAGAGGGGAAAAACAACCTTATTCTTGTAGGTCCTCTTTAGCATATGAAAGTTCTATTGAAACCTTTTCCCCCAACCCCATGCTATATAACCTGCCACCCCTCACAACCCTGGGGCAGCAACTCTTTCTGCCGCAGGTCCTGTCCTTGCGCTTTAATAAACCACCACCATTTTGCACCAAATTGATGGCTCAGGGGAAGTGAGCTGGGGGAAATCAGAGGGGAGGATGAACCATGAGAGACTGTGGAATCTGATAAACAAACTGAGGGTTTTAGAGGGGAGAGAGGTGTGGGGGGTTAGGTGAGCCTGGTGGTGGGTATTGTGGAGGGCACGTATTGCATGGAGCACTGGGTGTGGTGCATAAACAATGTATTCTGGAACACTGAAAAGAAATTTTAAAAAGAAATAAAAATTAAAAAAAAAGAATTCTTTCAGGGCACCTGGGTGGCTCAGTA